CCAGGGTAAGATAGAGCTGTCCAGGGTAAGATAGAGCTGTCCAGGGTAAGATAGAGCTGTCCAGGGTAAGATAGAGCTGTCCAGGGTAAGATAGAGCTGTCCAGGGTAAGATAGAGATGTCCAGGGTAAGATAGAGCTGTCCAGGGTAAGATATAACACAGAAAAAGAAAGTATACATATCCCAGGTTTCTAAGTGATTGGGAGTGCCTACAAAGGCCCCCGGGATATATATATAAAAATAGTGTTAATATATGAACAGCATTAAATGTGATCACAGATAAGAAGTATTCAGAATAGGTAAATAAACGACATAGTTAATAGTGAATGAATACTTGTATATCACACAAGAATTACTTAGGACTTAGGATTAAAACACTATGAAGTGGAATATACATACAATGCTAATATAGCAAAGAATAAAAATTGACAGAATATACACTAGTATAGTGTGAATTAAAAGTGATACCGAAATCAATTAACAAAATTTATCAAGTTTTGTAAACAAAAAATGCTTTAGAATATATGGAATTAAAATACAAATAAGATAAGGGTAAAGGGTAAGGGTATCCAGAGTAAGATAGAGCTGTCCAGTGTAAGATAGAACTGTCCAGGGTAAGATAGAACTGTCCAGGGTAAGATAGAACTGTCCATGGTAAGATAGAACTGTCCAGGGTAAGATAACGCTGTCCAGGGTAAGATAGAACTGTCCAGGGTAAGATAGAACTGTCCAGTGTAAGATAGAACTGTCCAGGGTAAATTTCTATCTAATACCCCATTTCACGTGACGTGACGTGACAATGGCTCAAAAATGACGTAACGTCACGAATTAGGAATTGCCGATGCGTAAAAGGCGACGTGATGAAATTAAACCCGTTTACGATATATTTACCGTATATGTTAGAAAGAAGAAATTAAGTTTTCTGCGCAAAATCTGTTTGCAAATATGGGGTATGCTAAGTCTCGCTGACAGGTTCATTTTCGTTGAAAAAGCTAAGGAGAAAGTTGATATTTTCAAAATGGTATCCAGTCCAAACGCATTTTCATGGTTTCTGAGCTTCATCTGGTAGTTGGAATGAGAGAACAATACTCTGCCATGCCCTGGGGTGTAGGGTTTTTCAAATTGTATAAACCCCCAGGCTTTGTCGAGGGTTTTGCCAAATTTGAAAGTCTCTACACCCCTTGAATGTTCCTATCTTACACCCCTGGGCATGAAAAAGTCTTATAATATTATACTGTAAGTACAAAAAAGAAATGAATTAACTTTACATTAAAAATTCTGATCCCTATCCCGTCTTGCTCTATCTACGTAAGGCAGTTACGTATTCTTGTATCTTAAGTATATTACCACATTTGCAATCACTTCCCTTTTGATATTGTTAAATATTATTTGCATCATTACTAAAATATGTATGTCGTAACTTTAATCGGAGTAAATTAAACATGCCAACGTTGGGTATTCTATACAAATATTATCAAAAAATTGTCATAAATACGAAATAACACCAGTGAGGTAGTAACACTAAATACGAAAAACACCAGTGAGGTTGTAACACTAAATACAAAATAACACCAGTGAAGTTGTAACATTAAATACGAAATAACACTAGTGAGGTTGTAACACTAAGTACGAAATAACACCAGTGTGGTTGTAACACTAAATACAAAATAACACCAGTGAGGTTGTAACACTAAATACGAAATAACACTAGTGAGGTTGTAACACTAAATACGAAATAACACCAGTGTGGTTGTAACATTAAATACGAAATAACACCAGTGAGGTTGTAACATTAAATACGAAATAACACCAGTGAGGTTGTAACACTAAATACAAAATAACACCAGTGAGGTTGTAACACTAAATACAAAATAACAGTAATCGGTTACATCATACTTTAGTTTGATGTCATTTTATTTGACCCCTTGTTATTCATTTAAGTGTATCAAAGAGTAGTTAAAAAGGAGTTTGAATAGAGGACAGGTACTTACAGTAATTAACATCTTCAATGGTTTGGGAGAGACGTGTTTGTGAATCCAGAAGATGAACGCTATGTTATATATTAAACAACAGATTATAGAATTTACTTACAGCAGTCGACGTAGATACAGATAACTCTAGAACGTCATCAATGTCAGGCATCATTCGTATAGTGACAACGACACAAATCAAAAGAAACGAGAACTCATTTAATTAATTATCCGTCATATATTGCACCGAACACTTGTAAATGTTTTCTCAGTTTACACAATATAGTGACAACGACATAAATTAAAAAAAACGAGAATTTATTTAGTTAATTATCCGTCATATATTGCACCAAACACTTGTAAATGTTTTCTCAGTTTACACAGACTGACTCATGTTTATGTAAGGATTGTATGAAGGAGAACACTTTGCCGCAGGTTGTGCACTGATATTGACGTTTCTGCGCATGGACATTGGAATGTTCTTTGAGATATTTGACAGCTTTGAAATGTTTTCCACATTCTTCGCAAACAAACACGCGTCCTGAGGACAACTTATGCCCTCTAAGAATGTTCTTGGACTTGAAGTCTTTGCTGCATTTGTCACATTTGTAAGGCCTATCTCCTGTGTGAGCATTAACATGAGCCTCAAATGGTTCCTTCTGGTTGTATCCTTTGCCGCAGAAGTCACATATATATTTAAAACTATTTGTGTGTGTTAATTTATGGTGCTGCAAGCTTCTCCTTAAACCAAATGTTTTTTTCACAAGTGTCGCAAGGTAGTTTTACCCCATGCGTTCAATGTTTCCATGTTCTGTCAGTTGTGCCTTGTCTCTGATGAACGACTTGTCACACTTCCCACAACTAAACATTCACTCATCCGTGTGCATTTTTGAATGCCTCTTCAAACTGTACTTTTGTGTGAACGACTTGGAACACACATCACAAATCCAACCAGTTTGGTTTCCATTTTGAGTTTCAATTTGCTGCACTTCATCTGTTGTTGGTTTGGCTGCAGGTTCAGTTGGTTTGGCTGCAGGTTCAGTTGGTTTGGCTGTAGGTTCAGTTGGTTTGGCTGCAGGGTCAGTTGGTTTGGCTGCAGGTTCAGTTGGTTTGGCTGGAGGTTCAGTTGGTTTGGCTGCAGGTTCAGTTGGTTTGGCTGCAGGTTCAGTTGGTTTGGCTGTAGGTTCATTTGGTTTGGCTGTAGGTTCAGTTGGTTTGGCTGTAGGTTCAGTTTGTTTGGCTGTAGGGTCAGTTGGTTTGGCTGCAGGTTCAGTTGGTTTGGCTGGAGGTTCAGTTGGTTTGGCTGCAGGTTCAGTTGGTTTGGCTGTAGGTTCAGTTGGTTTGGCTGTAGGGTCAGTTGGTTTGGCTGCATGTTCACATGCCGTCACATTGAAATACAGCAGAAAGGATATATGTAAAAAAAAAATCAGTGAAATGTAGCTTATAGTCGGTGAATTTACTATTACTGGTAGATGATGATATTTTCATAATCTACTTGAAGTTGATATCTACCTGTCTGTATCTCATGAAGACTATTTCAATTTTATTTAATTGTAATAGTTGATCTGCATGAATATTCAGGATTCATTTTTCATTTTTTTTTCAAATTTACACTGTATTAAAAATTAAGTTTTGAATATATACATATATATGATAAATAACAGTATATAAAAACTTAAAAACATTGAAATATCTATAAATACCACTCGGTTATCGATATACTTTTTTCTATTACAGTATATATGATAAGATATATTCTAATTTTTGCAAATTTAAAAAAAAAAAAAATAATAATAAGTTAGAATCACATACTTATAAAAATACAGCATAAGTTGTTGAAATATACTCTTAAGCACACCTAACAAACTTGCATCTTGTCGCAGTTGAATTTCTGAGATACTTACTACTTTATTAGGCTAAATATTTTAATAACTTCGCTTATGTCCTTTAAAATAAATATTCATTTGAATTTTTAGTCTTACGCGTAAAATTAATGGCAACCATTTTTTTTGTCAGAAAAATTAATGATGACACTGGAATCTGATGTGAAACTGAGCTCTGCCTGATATCAAAACAAAATATCATTCGGCTATTATAACCTGAAAATATTTTTAATTTCTTATTACTTTAGTCCTTGTTGCAATAATGCAATTACCATTGAATGGAAAAGGTAATAATCATTATAATTTTAAGGCATGCTATATAGGAAGTCTGTAAGTAAATGAGCATTTTGCTGACTTTGGAATGTAAGGGCCTGTCAAACAAGTCATTAAGGGAAGTAACTCGACCGCTGACAAAAAATACTTGCGCCCGATAGAGGCGGAATACGAACACGGCCTCCACCCCATACAGCCGTCGCTTTCAAAAACGCACAGAACGGCGAAATACGTCGTTATATCAACTATTACGTTTTCTTGTGCTATTTGAACATAAAAACTAATCGTATGTAGACAAAAAATGGTGCATGGCTTTCTATTCTAAGATTACATCATTGTTACAACTGATTTGCTGACACATTTATTGATTTATAAGTATTTTTGCAAAAAGTGATCCGATTTGGGTACCGCCTCCTTACATATACGGTGTTCAATTTTGGATACTCCCACCCTAGAGTTCGGAAGGTCCCGGGTTCGAGCCCAGGTATGACCTTTGCATTTCTCTTTCTCCTATTACATATACAAAACCGTTTTAAACTTTATAATCACCTGCCGTTTATCTTTTTGAAAATACATCTTGTTTGTATTGTTTAAATACTAAGATAACTATTGCTTATTATTTTTTAAATATAAATAAATATATATTTCAAGCGGAAATCAATAATGTAGTATAATCATTTAGTAGACTATTTCGTCATCAGTGCCAGATGATTTTCAACACGTGGACGGTTATAACAGAGGAACAGAACAACATTGACACAAACAGTTTTTTCGTTTTATACTATATATTTTTTCAAAGAAACGGACTATAACCATCTTAGTTTCCGTAGTTGAGAACAAATTTGAAATACACTATATTCTATCCCATAGTCCAATAGAAGTCACGTGATCATCGTCCTTACCCTGCCGCCATGATGCATGCTGTACGGAGAGCATGTTGCGGAACTTTGAAAGCCACAAAATGTGGCTTTTCGGTTCCAACAGCAACACATTCAGCTGTAAGAGCAGTACCAAGCTTCTTCACAACTCGTAAGTCATTTTGTTAAAGTCCACAAAACTCGAAGTTCGAAGATAAACTTTGTTAAAAAATGCCGGTGTCCGCAAAAACTTGCCGGGCCTCCGTTGCAATGTTGTTGTCCTTGACTCTCCATAAAGGTTACTTTACTTTCCTGTGTGTTTTTTTCTTATTTAGCCAATGGAACTGTAAAGTATGCCAGCCTATTGATTGTGTCGGTTCCTTCTTGGTTAAAAGACCACATATTTTGCTTTTACAGGTTCTACTTGTTTGTACTTGACGTGTTCTGCAGAGGTCACAGTCCGTACATGCTTTGATTAGAAATACAGTAATCAAATTTTGAGTTTTGACAGCAAAATCTTGCATCAGCGTTGCTCGGCTCTAATGAAATTAAGTGAATAATGCATGCGTAGTCATGGTGCGAGAGAAAAGACAACGTATTTCAAAGTCAAATGACAACTAAAAGTTCTTGATCACGACAAGTCTTCAAAATTGAAGCTTCAATGTTATAAACTTGGTTCAAGTTGTGAATAAATTTCAACGATCGAGAAAAACTTATATTGATCATGGAAAATATTATATGCAGTGTGAATGTAGATACAAACTTCTTGCATAAATACAAGAATCAATCCTTGTTTAACCTTGTTATGCAGGGGATTATGCAGCAGAGGCTGCTAAGGCCACCAGCACAATATCTGGAAAAGTTGTAGCAGTCATTGGTGCTGTGGTGGATGTCCAGTTTGATGATGATCTACCGCCAATTCTCAATGCCTTGGAGGTGGAGAACCGATCACCAAGGCTTATTCTCGAGGTCGCTCAGCATTTAGGTAATCTAAGGGTCCCAATAGTTTTCATTGTCTGAGAACAAGCTCATATAATAAGCCCATCATGCTTTTCTTGGAAAAATATCTTAATGTTTTGCAAGTAAAAAAATCTGCAACTCTTATCCTTTGAAGTTTATGTACTTTTCACTTTTTGGAAGAACCTATTTTTTCATTTGAAGTGTAACTTGTGAGCTGTGATTATAATTTAAGTTATGATGCCATCTTTCGGGTCAGATTCACGAATGATGAGACTTATCCGTGTACTGAACTCCTGTATTGTTAAATATCATGAATGTCAACCAAGATATCCAAGTTGCAGTGTTCACTTTCACTAAGTTTTAAAACAGCAGTTAATTTTGAAAAATAGACATATATTATATATTTAAGCTCCTTTGTGAAATTTATTGTCTTTCAATTATTATTACACATATTTTCTTTATTTCATACTAAATATGAAAGTAAAATTCTCTTGATGAAGGTCTGGTTTATCAGAATTCAGTAGGTCTATATAAGATTTTAAGTCTCGTAGACCTATTGTCTATAGTTGGTAGATCCTAAATTCTAAGACTGCTTATAATAAGGTATACATATGAAAGCAGGAACTCCAAATTTTATTTATGTTTGCCAAATTCAGGTTAGAATGATGCAAAATTGAAATGTTTTTTCTGTGCTGTCAGGGGAGAACACGGTACGAACAATTGCTATGGATGGTACAGAGGGTCTGGTGCGTGGCACTGTCTGTCAGGATATCGGCTCCCCTATCAGGATCCCTGTAGGCCCTGCCACACTTGGTCGAATCATGAATGTCATCGGAGAGCCCATTGACGAGAGGGGCCCCTTCAATACAAAGCAGTAAGCATTTAGCAGGTCGGGGGAAACCGCTAACTTGCGTATAATACACAAACTCGCCTACTATACGCCAATAGGGGTATGGATTTGTTACTAAAAATAGCCAAAATCACTTTAACTTTTTCAAATTGTTTGTCCAAGTCGCAATTATTCAGTCATCAAACATAATACAAATGCAAAAATAAACTTTATTTGCATGTGGGAAAGTACCAAAAATAAATGCAATTTTTAATAATATCTTGCAAAAGTTACTGTTAAAACTACGTGGGTTATTTTTAGTAACAAATCCATACTCCAACTTGCGTATAATAGGCGAGTTTGCGTATTAAATGCAAGTTGGTGGTTTTCCCCAGCCTGTTTGGTTGTTAACGTGATGGATATGTAGGTTTCCTATGGTCTTTTCCATTATTTTGAGACTGATCAGTAAAACAAGATGGTCACCAGGCATCCAACAGAACAAGAGAGAAGAGAAACAATCAAACTTAAAAATAACCATGTCTTTTCTTGTTCACCGACTTGCATGTAGGAGGACGGTTTCACAAACAAGTTGCTTATTGTTGGATAATATAAAGAATCTTAACAGACATGCCAGGATATATCTTGTATGTGAATTTTATATTTATATCTTATTTTGCGTAATACATGCTGTGAACAAGTTGTGATTTTAGGAATGGTTCTATAGGTTCATCAAGGAACTAAAAGTATTGATGTTTGGTTTCAGCTTTGCATCAATTCACGCTGAAGCACCTGACTTTGTGGAGATGAGTGTAACACAGGAAATTTTGGAGACAGGAATCAAAGTGGTAGACTTGCTCGCTCCATATGCCAAGGGAGGAAAAATTGGTAAGATATAAAGGGCTCTGTGTAAGCTTGTGTACCAGATAATAAACAAGTTTAGTTGACATTTAAATCCTTTATTTAGTGACGTGTGATTAGATGTTGGTGGTCAAGATTTAAGGGTCAGAAGTCACACCTAACCACTTTAGAAGTTAAAAGCTTGAATTTAGTGCAGATACATTATCTTTGGGGAAAATGTAACACTTTGATAAGTCATCAGTATACATTATCTTTGGGGAAAATGTAACACTTTGATAAGTCATCAGGATACATTATCTTTGGGGAAAATGTAACACTTTGATAAGTCATCAGGATACATTATCTTTGGGGAAAATGTAACACTTTGATAAGTCATCAGGATACATTATCTTTGGGGAAAATGTAACACTTTGATAAGTCATCAGGATACATTATCTTTGGGGAAAATGTAACACTTTGATAAGTCATCAGGATACATTATCTTTGGGGAAAATGTAACACTTTGATAAGTCATCAGGATACATTATCTTTGGGGAAAATGTAACACTTTGATAAGTCATCAGGATACATTATCTTTGGGGAAAATGTAACACTTTGATAAGTCATCAGGATACATTATCTTTGGGGAAAATGTAACACTTTGATAAGTCATCAGGATACATTATCTTTGGGGAAAATGTAACACTTTGATAAGTCATCAGGATACATTATCTTTGGGGAAAATGTAACACTTTGATAAGTCATCAGTATACATTATCTTTGGGGAAAATGTAACACTTTGATAAGTCATCAGTATACATTATCTTTGGGGAAAATGTAACACTTTGATAAGTCATCAGGATACATTATCTTTGGGGAAAATGTAACACTTTGATAAGTCATCAGGATACATTATCTTTGGGGAAAATGTAACACTTTGATAAGTCATCAGGAGAGCCAAAGTGCAAAAAAATCAATTTGTTTTCAAAAAATTCTCAACAGCAGTATGTATTGAAATAGTATTTACCTAGATGTAAAGGTTAAGTATAATTTTATGATTTCAAGTCGCGATCATCATGAGGAAGATGCATGCTTTGAGGACAAATGTTAAAGTGTTGCCTAGACGATTAAACCTATTGTCTATTCACAGGTCTGTTCGGAGGTGCTGGAGTCGGAAAGACAGTACTTATCATGGAACTGATCAACAACGTTGCCAAAGCTCACGGTGGTTACTCTGTGTTCGCTGGGGTAGGAGAGAGAACTCGTGAAGGAAACGATCTGTACCACGAAATGATCACATCCAAAGTCATCAGTCTGACTGATGATTCCTCCAAGGTTGGTTGTGGTGTAGGAAGCTGTGTGGCTGTTCAAATCATATCAGCATAGGATATAACGATAAGAATTGAAAAGGAGGCTGATATTTCCCGGTATATTAAGAGATCAGACTAAATCAGTCATTCACCATTCATACATTTTGCATGATGAACTTTGGATTCCTGAGAATCTGAAACTAAATCAAGGATTGGCTTTGGAATATACTCCAACCATAGAAACTTGATACCCGAGTGCTAGCATGTAAACAGTCGAATCGATGAAATGCTTAATCCAAGAATGACCTCGGAGTCGGCCTCCACCATTAGTCTCTAGGTTGAACCATGGAATTGGTTGGGATCTCCACCCTATAACAATATATATATGTACATGATAGATTGCTTTTGATACACATATGCTGCCAGAATTGGTGACAGAACCGGTACCTACCTTGTGGCCTCAATTTTAAATGTGGATCACACAATCCTTGCAACTGATGATGGTGTTGTATTGCAGGTATCGCTGGTCTACGGTCAGATGAATGAGCCCCCAGGTGCCCGTGCTCGTGTGGCCCTGACAGGTCTGACTGTTGCCGAGTATTTCCGTGATCAGGAGGGACAGGACGTACTGCTCTTCATTGACAACATTTTCAGATTCACACAGGCAGGCTCAGAGGTAAAACATTGGATATTTGTAGATCTATACAAGCACAAAACAGTTAAATTGTCAACAGCTATTTGGATTGCCACATAATTCATCTGATATATAAATCTAAATCTCTGATAGCACAAACTTGTATCAGAACTGAAACTTTTATGTGTAGTGTCTTGGCTCCATCTCAATACTCGGGGCCCAAACAAATAAAAAAATACATTGCACTTTACTTTTTTATTGGAACATCACCAATTTCTGGATTTTAGCAACATGTTGGTTATACTAACAACATCAGAATTTTCAATCTTTTAAATGAAAGGAGACATTACTACTGGTTGTTCTTATACCAACTTGTCTGGGCTGTAAATATTAAATCAATTATGTATGCCTGTTGAACTGGAATAAGGTCATAGTGACCTTTACCTTAAAGTCTGGGGTCAAAATATTTGCAAAATTTTCAGTGAACTTTTGTTTAAGTGTAAGTATATAGCATAGCTTTCAAAACCTAACCAAAATTGTTAAGACAGCATAAAATGAACAAGAATAATTTAAAGTTCAATGGAAAAGGATTTTTAAACCTTATTTGTGTTGATGTAACTTTTCTATTCTATAAAAATGCATATTTGCAAATGAGGGCAGTTAGAGAAATAAGCATATTGGACGGGTGTGATGTGTTTATTCAGAGATCCAAGCACCTATCAGATATTTAGAGTGATTTAATGTCAGGAATGGTAGGCAGATCTGGTTTTAACCCCACCACCATGGTGCCTCCTACCTCCTCTATACGATAAATTATGGAATAGCCCAAAGAGGATATTCATGTTTTTTGTTCACAAAATCATATTTCTAGTTAGTTTAGTAAGTATGTGTAAAGGCCTAAATCTAACTGCCATGTTTTGCATTCTTTTGTCAATTAGTAGCTTGGCATCCTCATTTAGGTAATGATGCTGAATAATGTCTTTGATTTATCTACCTAAAATTTACATCTTAAGATAAATTTCACAGAGATTTTCTAAAACAAATGAAGCAGAAACAGTGGCTTAACATTGATTTAAATTTTAATATTGTTATTCCGGAACGTTCCACATATTTGTTGGCATATTGCTTCATATGTGCATCACAATTACACCAGACTGAATTGAAATATTCAGATATTTTAATTTAAGGTAGTTTTGAAATTTTATTTGAGTAAAAGCCATTTTGAAGTTGGTGATTACCTGTTTGTTTATGTGACCAATGATAATTTTGTTTAGGTGTCTGCCTTGCTGGGACGTATCCCGTCCGCTGTAGGCTACCAGCCCACACTAGCCACAGACATGGGTACCATGCAGGAGAGAATCACCACTACAAGGAAGGGCTCCATCACCTCAGTACAGGTAATTTAGCCGCCTACTGATACTGTAGTTCTGTGGGTCTCATCAAGACTGAAGTTCAATAGTAGCTTTACATTGGAGTTTACTTTGTATTTTCATACACAATTTTTGGACCGAAGAGAAAAAGTATACAGCTTTTATATATTATCGAAGTGAAGTTTCTAGTAATAGACGAAGGATGTTTAAGTTGTGATCAAACTGTGATTTGACAGAAATAAATGGCAGACAGTTCCATATTATCTATCTTGTGTACCCATTTTAAGACAACAACTTGATATATGTTTATTACAAATGAAAACGTAAGGCAAACAGTATATTCGAAAACCAGAAATTTCTTTATTTTGTTTCTTATTAGTATTGCCTTTATTCTTGGTAAGTCAGGTGTTTCATGGCAAGTAAGGTTGTACCAAGCATATAATTAACTTGTGGCCTTACCAAAAGAAATGGCCATGTCCTGCATGCTATTGCTAGAGAATTGTTTGGGTTTAAAGTTAGAAAAAAAAATGGGCATACTGATCATGAGTGTAGGAATATCATTATCAACATGGTGCAATGGAAGAACATATTTTCTCTAAAATTGCATTGGAAAATTAAAAAAAATTGATATGGAGTTTTGAATACTGCTGTGTTTTAGGCTATTTATGTGCCTGCTGACGATTTAACCGATCCTGCTCCTGCCACGACCTTCGCCCATTTGGATGCCACCACTGTGTTGTCCCGAGGTATTTCTGAACTGGGTATCTACCCTGCTGTGGATCCCCTCGACTCCATCTCTCGTATCCTGGATGCCAACGTGGTGGGAGAGGAGCATTACGTTGTTGCCCGTGCCGTACAAAAAGTGTTGCAGGTGATGATTTCTTGTCAAGTGTATCTTACATCCAAAATATATTGTGATCTCTAACTTAATTGTAATACCACTTTGGTCAGACAATTATAGATAATCAGGCTAACAAAGTGTTGTGCCTTAAATATGTAAAATTGTGCAGTTGGTCTATGGACTCTGGTTTAATTTTATATGCTTGTCAACATATTTGACAGTGTATTACAGAATGGGGAGCACCCATTCATCTGGCTATGCACACTTGGCTTCTACAAATTACTAGCTTCAATATCATCCTATTTGTTTAAACTCGGCAAACATATAAAACATGAAGACTGAGGCTTTAATAGTTTGAAGTGAGCATATTTTCTCATAATTAGTTGGCATATTGCACTCTGGTCAACAGTTCCCATTGATTTTATATTTACATTTGCATGGCATTGTCACTATATAGGCTATTTGAAAGCTGTGTCGTTGATAGAACTTATTAAAAAAATGAAAAAATTCTGACAAGACAAGGTCTACAATATCGTACAAAATGCACATCGGTTGAAATAACCAATGTCGGCAATGGAAACAATTTTAACACTCCTGCATCTTATTAGAAATATCGTCTGTTACACTGCACTGATCAACAGGGGTGCGTTACAATAGTTTTTGGTTTCCTGAGTTTCTGACGACATGTCAAATAACGAGGTTGTTGTAGAATCTACCAACTGTAGTCGGGTTCCATGACAATCAACAAATAAATTCACGCCTAGATTCTTCACAAATTCAAACTTTTCTCTCTGCTCATTCAACTTCCAAAAATAACTCCCTCATGGAGGGCAAGGTCGGTTTCACTATGTTCACTGTATTTATCCATGCGCAAAATTTGTTCTGGGGGGAAATCAAATAATTTCAAATCTAACTTTCAGCTTGCATTTCTATTGATAAACTTAAATCACCCTATATACATATCATACACAATTGTATTAATACTGAATTGTGGAATAAAATTGAAGTGTTTGTAAAAATATCAAAGTACTACTTTGTTTGCCAATCAGCACGCGACAATCGCTGTTCCAACTATTGAACTAATTTGTGTGGACTGTCGATAAGGCGGGAATTTTAAATTGAAAAAGAACATTAAAGGCAGAGAAACACAAATATAAGTATGCATTATGATGTTTGCTTGCAAAGCTGTGTCATTCAAATAGATCATAAATACCATACAAAAACAGTTCAATGCTTAATTATTACCAGATTCTGATGAAACAAAGTCAAAAAAAATTTAACATGACGGAATTTGGATGGAACTTAAATCAATATTTGTACTGTAAAAAGTGGCAAAGGCCATGTTTACATTGAGTGAAATTTGTCTGCAAATTAGAATCCCCCAGAAATTTCTTTGATTTTACTCTTCAAGTTGAATTGATTACGAGTAAAGGGAGGCTATACTTTAAGATTAAAGAAAAAAATGAAGGACATATGACAGATTTCATTCATTAAATTTAATACAAGAATGTGTCAAAAGAGTTTCAAAAGGCAGTCTCCTTATGAAAGCTTAGAAATCTGCCAGTTTAAGATAAACAAGATAACCAACCATCACTCATTGGAGAATCTTATGTATCAATTATCTCAATTACTGGGAAAGGTCATGTTGATGTCTGGACTTGTCACTATAGAAAATGTAATATTAAAGAAGAATATAAATCTGAAGATAACAGAATTTGTCACATTTTAAATTGAAACTATTGTGTTTTCAGGACTACAAGTCCCTTCAGGATATCATTGCTATTCTGGGTATGGATGAGTTGTCTGAAGATGACAAGATGACTGTGATCAGGGCCCGTAAGATGCAGAAGTTCCTGTCACAGCCCTTCCAGGTGGCAGAGGTTTTCACAGGCCAGGAGGGCAAATATGTACCACTCACAGAGACCATCAAGGGATTCAAGGACATTTTAGCTGGTATGGTGTTCGTGACACACACATACACAAAGATATACCAATCCATGCTCTCATTAGTTTCGTGAATACAATGAAGCTATTACTATTGGTTAACACCGTGCACAACTTGCTTGTGGGCTATCCCAGAAATAAACCTGTATAGAAGGGAGGGGCTGGAAGAGGTATTTATAAACCTGTAGAGAGGGGAGGGGCTGGAAGAGACATTAATAAACCTGTATAGAAGGGAGGGGCTGGAAGAGACATTTATAAACCTGTATGGAAGGGAGCGGCTGGGAGAGACATCTATAAACCTGATAGAAGGGAGCGGCTGGGAGAGACATCTATAAACCTGTATAGAAGGGAGGGGCTGGAAGAGACATCTATAAACCTGTATAGAAGGGATGGACTGGAAGAGACATCTATAAACCTGTATAGTGGGGAGGGGCTGGAAGAGACATCTATAAACCTGTATAGAAGGGAGGGGCTGGAAGAGACATCTATAAACCTGTATAGTGGGGAGGGGCTGGAAGAGACATCTATAAACCTGTATAGTGGGGAGGGGCTGGAAGAGACATCTATAAACCTGTATAGAAGGGAGGGGCTGGAAGAGACATCTATAAACCTGTATAGTGGGGAGGGGCTGGAAGAGACATCTATAAACCTGTATATTGGGGAGGGGCTGGAAGAGACATTAATAAACCTGTATAGAAGGGAGGGGCTGGAAGAGACACCTGTAAACTTTTATAGAAGGGAGGGGCTGGAAGAGACACCTGTAAACTTTTATAGAAGGGAGGGGCTGGAAGAGACACCTGTAAACTTTTATAGAAGGGAAGGGCTGGAAGAGACACCTGTAAACTTGTATAGAAGGGAGGGGCTGGAAGAGACATTTATCAACCTGTAAAGAAGGGAGGGGCTGGAAGAGACATTAATAAACCTGTATAGAAGGGAGGGGCTGGAAGAGACACCTGTAAACTTTTATAGAAGGGAGGGGCTGGAAGAGACATCTATAAGCCTGTATAGAGGGGAGGGACTGGAAGAGACACCTGTGCACTTTTATAGAAGGGAGGGGCTGGAATAGACATTTATAAACCTGTGTGGAGTATTAACAAAAAAATGATCATCCTTGGGGTATGGGGACTTAATATAAACATAGGGTGCAATCAATGTTATGTTAACCAAGTGACCAGGGGTCTTGTAAGGATAGGGCCTGACATAAATTAAGGATGTTCCTTGGAGGGGAATATAAAGTTGAAAAAGAGACGACTATGTTTGTAATACAATAAGGATAGTGATTGGGACTTCTATTACCCGACATTGAGTTTTATTGGATTAACTGATTCAACAAGGTTCTGTTGTATGTGGTATCAGTGATGTTGTTTAGTGTTTGCAGAATATTAAAGCTGTGTAATTCTGTTTTACAGGAAAGTATGACCACTTACCTGAGGTGGCCTTCTACCTGGTGGGATCTATTGAAGAGGTGGTAGCCAAGGCAGACAGACTGGCTGAGGAACAGTCCTCCTAATTGGGCAGTAACATAGACCATTTAATATAATATACTGTATCAGAAGCTGAATGTGTGTGTGATGAATACTTATCAACAAGACCAGTGAGGAAATGTTTTGGCTGTTCGTAACATGGAAGTCGGAATAGTTGAAAGTACTTTGGTGATAATTCTAAAGGATGTGTTTTTTGTTTTAAAAAAGAAAGAAAACATAGTGCTGTTTGTCTAGGTGAATGAGTTTACCAGTTTCAGGTTGTGTACAAAGGGACGTTTTTTTAACCTAACATGTCCCTCTGTCATACAAGTTGAAATAAAAAAGGTGTTTAAATCTAGAGATGATTTTGTTATTATGTTTATTTGCCCACCATCATAGATGGTGGTCTATACAAATTGCTTTGTCTGTGGTCCAGTGTCTGTCAATCAGCAAGTTCCTATGGGGTCGATTGAAGATTAAATATGGAAATTACACTGAAAGTGTATTCCTGATAATTACAGTTGGAAGTTTGATACCTCTCTTTCTGACTGAGTATTGGACAGATCCCTTATATACCACTGTATTATGATGGAACGTAAAATGACTTGGGGAACATCTGTCTAAACTTTGGTTCCCACAAGATGACTTGCATAAATATTATTCGATTTTGATGAAACTTTGCTTACATGTACATTATAGGAAGACGGAGACTAATCCTTGCATGATTAATTAGGATACTGCACTGATTGGTTGATTGTTTCTGCACAATAACTTGACAAATATGACCGGATTCAGGGGAAACTGTCAATATTTATATTATATACAATGACATCCTATATCAAAAAAACCCATCTTTTTCGACTTTTAAAGAACCAGTGAATGGAATTTTTTGAAACTTTGTCAAAATTATCCTTTGTGGAAGAGGGTGTTAAATTGTAAAATTGCAATTCCTGCCCCAACCACGGGCCAGGGTGGGCTCTTCAAGGCTAGGGTTAGTAGTGGTAGCAGAATGTCGGGGCCCCTCAGATTTACAACAATCAAATACAATATAATCATCATAGATAGAAAGGTCCTTCGGTGCTTAAACTAAATTGTACAAGTAATTCATTACCCCTGGGTCATCTGCTCTTCTTTCCGTAGGGGGTAAAGTTTACTATAGTGTTTATAAGGAAATAACACTTGGGTATATTTCCCAGGGCTGAGGGGTAGGTCCCAAATCTGTGAAATTTTCAAAATCGATCTCTGACCGAGATGTATGAGAATTAGATACCCTATATTGATAGAAAGGTGTGTAGGTGCACTAATTAAGTTGTAAGTTTCATTACTCAAAGGTCATCGGCTCCCCTTATAGTAAAATTTACAATAGTTCATATAGGAAAATTACACTTTAGGGTATATTTAGTCTGTTTTTAAACTAGGTTGGAATAATTATGAGGAGATTGCAATTAAATGGTATGAAAAAATAGTTGCCTGCCCCCCCC